GGGTGTAGTTTTCTAGGCTACTTCCTGCTGATTGGGGGCACTGGTAATCTTATGGGAACACAAAGAAAATTTAGGATTATGTTCAAGTCCTGATTGGAGTAGTCTGTGAGGCTGTATCATCTCAGCTAGCCATTTCGATATTGTCCTGAGCAGTTTGTAGTCCAAAGCTGATCTTTGGGTGGTGTTTGTCAGTTTAGTGGCATTACCATAGTCCTCATGGAATCATCATTGTGGGGTCTCATTATCTTTTCAAAGATGTTGATATTAGGCGTGGTCATGGTTCACTGAGGAAAATCTTTTTCATGGGACATTTTTTCTGGATGATTTGTCCTTTTTCTTTAGATGTCTCATTTGTCCAGTGTTCTTCAGATTCCTTAGCCTTCATTCTCCTGAAAGAAAAAAACAAAACCCTTTCCCAACTTTGGGGAGGTTCCCTTTTGGCAAGTTATAACTGATCAAATGAAAAGCTTTTGTTAGTTGTATAAGTTAATTTAAATTGAATGGTCATGCTGATTGATGAACTATTACCTCTTCTAATAAAGAGGTCTCACTTGTTCAAATCAAACCTTTATCAATTTTGATCATATCTGTAGCTTTTCTTCTCCTATGGAAACAAAAGCAAAACCTTGTCCCCAGTGTAACACATATCCTGGTTTCCATTCTGAGGTCAACACATCTTTAAAGTATACAGGCTGATTTAATTCTGTAGTTTTTTTTTCTATTATCCAGTGTCTCTTTGCAGCTGTTGTTCCTTTCTCATTAGCCTTGAGAAAATTCAAAGTTAATAAAGCATTATGTAATCTGTTTCTGGGGAGTTTGCTACCCCTTTCTGTTTATTTAGCATAACTTTTAGAGTTTGGGAAGGGTATGGAGGAAAAGACACCCACCTTTTGTGGCGATTTGAACATGAAATGTCTCTCACTGGCTCATGCATATGTTCACTCGGTCCCCAGATGGGGTCGCTGATCTGAGAGGCTGAGGAACCTTTAGGAGTTGGAGTCTAGCTGGAGGAAGTGGGTTGCTAAGGGTTGGGCATTATAATGAGGGTTTATAACCTCCTTTACATTTCTGATTTTATCTCTTTGCTTCCTGGTAGATGGAGAAAAATAAAGCAAAACAAAACGGAACAGCCACAGATAGAGCACCAGCCACCATGCCCCGCCCCACAACAAACCGAGCTGAACTAAACCTTTCTTCCTCCGAGGCTGATCTCGTTAGGTATTTCGACTTGGTGAAAAGAAAAGAAACTAGTATAATATTTCTCATTACTTAGTAATTTGTAATTATATACTTTTAGTTACTTTCATTTACTCTCAATTTTTGTCATTCTTGTTATTGACAGTGCTGAGATCCATCCCAGGGCCTACTTGATGCTAAATAAATTCTTAAATGCTGAGCTACATCTCCAGCCACGTTATTTTTAAAATAGCATAGAATTCAGAATTAGGTCACCCTGATTTTCCTACACATCAACATCTCCAGCAAGGTTTTTATGTTGTTTGTAAGGACAGTGCCTGGATCAGAGAAGGTACTCATGAGGCACTATTGGAATGCATCCCTGTACTCACATGTCTGCATGTTCTTAATACTGTTTCTTAGAAAGAGCCGTAAGAAAATGGCTGCAGGCTTTCTGTGACTAAGGGAAATGGAGAGGAGTGGAGCCTGCCACCATAACTAGCTAATGTTCTTGCTCTTGTTTCTTTTTCATTGTTCCTTCCTTCCTTCCTTCCTTCCTTCCTTCCTTCCTTCCTTCCTCCCTCCCTCCATCCCTCTCTCCCTCCCTTCCTTCCTTTCTTGACACAGAGTCTTAAAAATGACAGATAAGTACTCTGTCACCAAGCTACACCTCCAGCCATCAGCATGACGTTTTATTGTCTTCATAGTGCCTCATAGGTTTGGGTTTGTTCTGTTTCATTTTCATTTCATTCTAGGATTTTTTTCTGCTTCCTGGTTTCTTTGGGGACCCATTCATCCATCCTTCAGTAGTATGCTATTCACTCTCCATGAGATTGCGTCTGTCCTAGGGGTTCTTTTATGGCAGATTTTCAGTCTTAGACCAGAGTGGCCAAATAGAACACAAGGCGTTATTTTAACTTTCCTGAATTTGTGGAGACTTGCTGTGAGTGCAGATATACAATGCATTTTGGAGAAAGTTTTATGGGATTTTGAAGTTGTAAGAAATGGGTCTGGGGTCTCAAGAAAGTGATTACACAACCCAAGGCATTTTTGCAAGGCAAAACCTTTTATTTCTTTCAAAGGGCACCTAGTCAAATCAAACAAAGGAGCCCTGTTCCTCACTCTGAGGGGTAAGAGCTTGGCCTCACATTCCTAAATTTGTCTGCTTTAAAGGAACAAGCAAAATGTGATTCCTAGCAGAAAGTGCTATCTTGAGCTCTTGAGCTCATCTTTTTTTTCAAAAAGTGCTGTCCCTTAAGGAATTTGTGTTTCTGTCAAGTTTCTTCTTTAAAACACATTTTGATGGAGTTTTGTCCTCTTTAACCTTTTGATAGAAAGGATACATTTTGTTTACATTTTCCACAGAATCGCCCACTTCCTTGTGCTAGAATCAGTCTGGGCTTTCTATTATCTTCTTTATGAGACTGGGTGCACCCATATTTGGAGCACATCTGCTTAGCAGCTGTAATGTCCTCTTGACAGGTCATTCCCTTATTCAGAATGAAGTGACTCTTGTGTTTTCTCACTGGTTCAGTTTGTGGTCTACTTCGTCAACAGTGTCCCCAGCTTATTTCCTATGTCTATTTGCTTACAACATTTTTTCCCCATGATTCCGTGCTAAGGTTATAGCTGTCTTCTGTGGTGAGGTGCATTTCTTGGAGGTAGTAAATAGATGCTTCCTGTGTTTTGATCTACTCTACTAGTCTGCCTTTTGGTTGGGAAGTTGAGACCATTTAAAGTCTTATTATTGAAAGGTATGTATGGATTCCTTTCATTTTCTTTACTTGGTAGTTGTCTTAGTTAAGGTTTCTATTGCTGCGAAGAGACACCATGATAACAGCAACTCTTATAAAGGAAAACATTTAATTGAGGTGATGGCTTACATTTTCAGAGGTTTAGTCCATAATCATCATGGTGGGGAACATGGCAGCATGCAGGCAGACATGGTGCTGAAGAAGGAGCTGCTACATGTTGACACGCAGGCAACAGGAAGTAGTCTGAGACACTGGGTGGTATCTTGAGCATATATGAGACCTGAAAGCCCACCTCCACAGTGACACACTTCCTCCAACAAGACCACACCTACTCCACAAGGCCATACCTCCTAAGAGTGCCACTCCCTTTGGGGGCCATTTTCTTTCAAACCACCACAGTAGTGTTTTTTTCCCCCTCTTTCTCTCTTACTTAACTATTATTCTGTTTTGATTTATTTTTTTCCTGTGACCTCATGGATGGATATTTCTCTTCAGTCCAAAGGGATCATTCAAGTATTTCTGTAGTGTTATCTTAGTAAATTCCTTGGCCTATTTTTATCATGGAAAGTTTTTATTTCTCCTTCAACTATAACAAATAGCTAGTTTTGCTAGGTATAATAATCTGTGCTGGCAGTTTTTGCTTTTCAGAAATATACCTTGAAATACTTGTCCAGGCCATCCTGGTTTTTAAAGTCTTGAGTTAAGAAATCTGCTACTATTTTGATGGGTCTTCTTTTATATGTGACTTGGTGTTTCTATCTTGCTACTTTCAATATGGTTTCTTTTCTCTGTATAGTTAGTGTTTTAATTATAATTACAACATGAGATGGGACATTCTTTTTTGGTCTTGTCTGGTGTCTCAAATGCTCCTGTATCTAGATTGGCATCCCCTTTATCAACTCTGGGACATATTCTGCTATTTTTTTAATTAATTTATTTATTTAATGTGTGTATGTGTGTACACCACTTATGTGCAGACACCCACAAAAATCAAAATAGGCCATTGGGTTCCCTGGAACTAGAGTTATAGATGGTTATGACTCATCATGTGGGCACTGGGACCTGAACCCTGGTCTTTTGCAGGAGCAGTAAATGCACTGAACCACTGAGCAATCTCTCCAGTTTCTCTAGTGATTCTCTTTTTAAAATGTTTTCTGTCGGGCGGTGGTGGCGCACGCCTTTAATCCCAGCACTCGGGAGGCAGAGCCAGGCGGATCTCTGTGAGTTCGAGGCCAGCCTGGGCTACCAAGTGAGTCCCAGGAAAGGCGCAAAGCTACACAGAGAAACCCTGTCTCGAAAAACCAAAAAAAAAAAAAAAAAATGTACAATTTGCCGGGCGGTGGTGGCGCACGCCTTTAATCCCAGCACTCGGGAGGCAGAGCCAGGCGGATCTCTGTGAGTTCAAGGCCAGCCTGGTCTCCAAAGCGAGTTCCAGGAAAGGCGCAAAGCTACACAGAGAAACCCTGTCTCGAAAAAAACCAAAAAAAAAAAAAAAAAAAAAAAAAAAAATGTTTTCTATGCCTTTGGAAACACGCCATTTTCCTTCTTCTACCCCTGCCACTGGGAGACTTGTGTTTTTCATGGTGCTGCATGTGACTTGGAATTCTCACTCACTTTTTAACTTATCATTGTCCTTGTTTGATCGTCCCAGTTGCTTTACCATGCTTAAAGGCCCCAGTGTTCTGGTCTCTCCTTCGACTGGCTCTTTGGGTGAGACTTTCTCTGGAGTTTTTTATTTGTTTTACTGTGTTCTCTATTTCTAGTATTTCAGACTGGATTTACCTCAGTGTTTCTATCTCTCTGTTGAATTTCTCTCCCATCCTGCATCACTTTTCTTATCTCATCCAGCTGTTTGTGTTCTTAGTCAAAACTTATGTTCCTTGATTTCTTTGAACATACTTAGAATCTTGAGTTCTCTGTCTGGGATTTCATCTAATTCACTCTTGCTAGATACCATTACCAGAGGAGTAGTAATTTTTGGAGGAGTTATGCTGTCTTGGGTTTTGTGTGTTTCTTATGTTTCTCAGTTGGGATTTATGCATCTGGTGGTATTTCTTTTCTTTTCTTTTTTTTTATATGGAACTCTTCATGAATTTGTGTGTCATCCTTGCACAGGGGCCATGCTAATCTTCTCTGTATCGTTGTAGTTTTTTAGTATATGTGCTGCCGAAGCGAGCATGGTATTTCTTTTCTTGGTTCAATTTTTAATCCGCTCTATCTTTTTTCAGTTGAAGTATTTATAGTGTTCATGTTGGGTTTGGATGTGGTAGAGTTGAATATATGGTTAAGAAAACAGTTCCTCAGTCCAAGAACTCAAGGTTCTTGGTGCAAGCTCTATATTATTATTTGAACAGGACATTAACTGGTAGGGTCACTACAGTTGCTTGGTATTACTACCATGCAAATGTCATGCCAGCCGATTCATAACAATGTCCCTTTAACTTCAGTAACTATTGGAGGGTAAACAACCAAGATAGTATGGTGTATACTCAGGTTTTAGTTAATAATATTAGGATTGGGAAGGAAATAAGTGGGTGAGGATAGAGACAAATAAGTAAAAAATACTGAGGTGGGTAAAGTAGCTGGGAAGGGAAAGTTGGTTAAGATATTGTTCGGGTCCACAGATTTTAATGATTATAAAAAGAGGAGGACCGGGGAGATGACTCAGCAGTTATGAGTATTTAATTGCTGCTCTTCCAGAGGACCTAGGTTCAATTCCCAGCACCCACATGGCAGTCCTCACTGTCTATAACGCCAGTTCCAGGGAATCTGACACCCTCACATAGACACACACGCAGGCAAAACACTAGTGCACATGAAATAAAAATAAATCATTTAACAAATTGTAAAAAGAAGAAAAAAGAGACTGAACATAGTGGCATACACCATACTCCCAGCACCCAGGAGGCAGAGGCAGGTGGATCTCTGTGAGTTTCAGGCCAGTCTGTTCTACTTATTGGGTTCCAGGCCATTCCGGGCTACACAATGAGATCCTGTCTAAAAACAAGCAAACAAAAATGAAAAGAGGGGCGGGAAGGATAAGAGAAAGAAGACAATATCTAGGAATCAGATGGGAAGTCTGAGATGGGATTGAAGGGTATAGTAAAGAATGCCTCAGGATAAACTGGCCGCGGAAAATAATCAGCAGTTCTGGTGTTGATTTCTCTGTTCTAGCGTACCGTGGTTGTTGGTAAGTGATGGTGGGTGCTCCAGTTCCAGTTCCTGTGGAGCATCTCCACAGATGCCTCTACAAGACTGCTCCATCATTCCAGGGGAGTGCCTTCCTGCTGCATGTTCTTGAATTATGACCCTCACTAAGCATGCTCAGATGTATGGGTCTTAAATTGAACACGCACTGGTTTGGACCCTTCCCAAAGTACCTCCCCCATGTGAATAGATATAGGCCACCCCAACAATTCCTCACCCTTTCTTTGTTTGAGGGGAGCACTATGTTCTACCTGGAGGTGATAAAAATCTTTCACGGTTGTGTCCTGGCTGTGAGTTTACGTCTTGCACCTGAAGTTGCTCACACAGCCACAGCTGGAATGCTGGTGTTAGGCTCACTTTCTTCATTTTCCTCCATTTTCTCCAGTCTAGGACCCCAGACCATGCAGCTCACCTTCAGTGCAAGTCTTCTCCACCTGGTTCAACTTTTTGGGAAACATCCTCATAGACACACGCAGAGGTGTGATGCCACGGTGTGTCTAAATTTAGACAATTTAACGAAGATTAACCATCACACTCATTACTAATTAGGAAAGCTCAGGCCTTAGGATTTCTATTGTTGTGACGAACACTATGACCAAAATTAACTCAGGGGAGAAATAGTTAATTTTATCTTACAGCTCTCAGGTCACACTCGATCACTGAGGAAAGTCAGGGCAGGAGCCTGGAGATAGGAACTGAAGCAGAGGCCATGGAGGAATGCTGCTTGCTGACTTGCTGCTCATGCCTTGTTCAGCCTGCCTTCTGATACACCTCAAGACCATCTGTCCAGGGGTAGCACCGACCCCCATGGGCTGGGCCCATTCATATCAACCTGGATAGAGGCATTTTATCAACTGGGTTTCCCTTTTGCCAAATGACTAAAGCATTGGTCAGGTTGATGAGCTAACACATGAAGAAAGAAGAAAAACAGGCCTAATAAAAATATGAGTCCCAAATAGCCAAACGAATGGAAACACATGAACTATGAACCAATGGCTGAGAGGTCACCAGCTGGATCAGGCCCTCTGAATGGGTGAGACAGTTGATTGGCTTGATCTGTTTGGGAGGCATCCAGGCAGTGGGACCGGGTCCTGTGCTCATTGCATGAGTTGGCTGTTTGAAACCTGGGGCCTATACAGGGTCGCTTGGCTCGGCCTGGGAGGAGGGGAATGGACCTACCTGGACTGAGTCTACCAGGTTGATCTCAGTCGGCAGGGGAGGCTTTGACCTGGAGGAGGTGGGAATGGGGAGTGGGCTGGGGGGAAGGTGAGGGGGGCCGGAGGGGGGAGAACAAGGGAATCCATGGCTGATATGTAGAACTGAATTGTATTGCAAAATAAAAATAAAAATTAAAAAAAAAATGAGTCCCTTTCCACCAAAAATAAATAAATAAATAAATAAATAAATAAATAAATAAATAAATAAATAAATAAATAAGATTCAATTGCCGTGTGACACCTGAGACGGCTTGGGGCGGCTCTGTGTTGACTAAGCATGCTGTCATGGAGCCTATGGGCCTGCGTCTGAGGACCCACCATAGATACTAACACCACCAGGAGAGGTCCAAGTCTTCCTTGGGAGGTGGCCGGAAAGCAGAAGCCCACATCTGGGCTCACATCTGGGCTCCATCCGCGCCTCATTCTAGAACTCCCCAGCAGAGGGCAGTCTGAGCTCAGGCACCATTTTGCCTAGCCACTGGTTTAGCCAGCAGGGCAGATGGGCACCTAGCCCCCTCACTGCCCACTGAAGCTTGGGCATGGTGCCCACTTGCTGGCAGCAGCAGCAGCACCAGAGAAACAGGATGCACAAGGAGGTTGGGTAAAAAGGTTGTTTTGAGTTCTCCCTAAGCCTGGCAGATGCCCGGCCCTGGCATCCTGCCACGCTCCCCCATCTAGGATCCTGGACTGAAGGCTCATCTCACTCTCAGCCCAGTGCAGGCTGCTCACTGTCTCCATTCCCAGTTCAGAATCTGTTTCTCTGAGGCATAGACTCCCTAGAGGCTCCGCAGTGGGAGGGGCTCCGTTGCTGTAAGTCTACAAGCTGGCATTTCAAAGAACTTCAAAGGGCAGGTGGGGGCCCTAAACTGTGAAGCTGTCTTAGAGTAAGATGGCGGCAGCTATGTTGAAGTGAGTCTTGTGAAGAAATGTCTCAATCCTATTGTTTTTCTAACTCTGAGTGACAAGAAATGTGGCTGGGGGGGGTGGGGGTGGCTGCAGAGATGGCTCAGCGGTTAAGAGCACTGGCTGTTCTTCCAGAGGACCCAGGTTTGACTCCCAGCACCCACATGGCAGCTTACAACCCACAACCCATCTGTAACTCCAGTCCCAGGGGATCTGATGCCCTCTTCTGGCCCTCTGGGACACTAGGCACACACAAGGTACATACATATACATATAGGCAATTAAAAAAAAAAAAACTATGAAATTATTTTTAAAACTTGGGGAGGATTTTGGAGGAGTTGAGGAGAGAAAGAATATGATCAAAATATATTAAACCAACAATTTTTAATTCAAAAAAGAAAGGAAGGAAGGAAGAGAGAAAGAAAGAAAGATGGCCGTGGCTGAGTTGTATCACTGGTTACCAATTATCTCCTCATTTAATAGAAGAGTTAAGGCCCAGAGAGAAGGAGCTACTTGCCCAAGGAGAGGCTCCATTCCCTTTCTCACTAGAACACGATGGCATATTAGTGACCTGATACCTAGGGGGCAAAGGCCGACTATTAAGCAGAAGTAGCTGGGCATGGCTTGGACTTCTAGATCTGTCTGACTGGTGGCCGCTGATTAATCTTAAGATTGCCTCATTTCCTTCCTCGGCCAAAGAACTCCTGTTTGGAGAAAGCAGCCTCTCCTAGGACACAGGGCACTCCTTTTCCTCAGTGAGTCACAGCCTCCGAACCACTGTGGACAGCTTGACCCCAAGGCAAGAATCTTCCCTGCTCCTGCTTTTTTTCCAACAAACACCTCCATCGGCGGCACTCCACTGCTTTGGCCAACTCCCTATAACTTAAACGAGCTTCCCTAGACATGTCACGTACCCCTTGAAATGGGACCATAAGGATCCAGAGGATTGCCCATCTTCAATCCTCAAAGCTCATAGGGAAAACGGGTAGAGGCACTGTCTCAGGGTTACTATGCTGTGATGAAACACCATGACCAAATGCAACTTGGGGAGGAAAGCGTTTGCTTCGCTCACAGTTCCATAGAACAGTTCATCATCATCAAAAGCAGTGAGGGCAGGAACCTGGAGGCAGGAGTTGGATGCAGAGGCCATGGAGGGGTGCTGCTTACTGGCTTGTTCAACATGACTTGCTCATCCTGCTTTCTTATAAAACCCAGGACCACCAGCCTAGGGATGGCACCACCCACAACGGTCTGGGACCTCTCTCATCAATCATTAATTATGAAAAGGCCCTACAGGCTTGCCTACAGCCTGAACTTATGGAGACATTTTCTTAATTGAGGTTCGCTCCTCTCAGATGACTTCAGCTTGTGTCAAGTTGACATGACACTAGCCAGCACAGGCACAGAGTGTGGTTTTCCTGCCACGGGTACAGGTCTCATGGATGCTGCATGTGCTGGCAGAGGTCTTACTGGTGGCTTTTCAGAAGCCAGTGTGTGTTGGCACTGTGTCCACCTCCAGGAGAATGAGCAGGCCAGAGCTTGGTTGTGGATGTTTCCTCAGCCCCAGCCTCCTCCTGAGTAGCTGGGATTGAGCTCCGGCTGCAGGACCGATCACAGGACTACACTTTTAGGTCTCAGGCCTGTAATTGGAAGTGAGCTAGCCCTGGGGGAAAAAATGTCATTTCCTTGTCACTATGACTAACTCCAGTGGGGAGTAACACATAACAAATCCCTTTGTTATGGGCTCTTCCTTGTCCAGCTCCTCCCAGCCAGCAGACACAGGATGTAGTGGAGGTGGTGGTGGTGATGGTGGTGGTGGTGGTAGTGATGGTGGTGGTGGTGGTGGTGGTGGTGAGACAATCCTGAAAAACTAGTCTTGAAAGAAACTACCTCAAGAATACCTCCTAGGGGAAGAAGTGAGAGCCTGTACCTATTTGTTCAAGGAAAAAGGAACAGAAATAGAAGGAAAAAAAAAAAAGCGTAGACTAATGAGATTAGCTACCTGCAGGGCGTGGCCAAGACAGGATGAAAAGGATAAAGTGGATGAAGACTTTTGTTCTGACTTAGGAGCCACTGCAAAATTAAAACTTAAATGAAATAAAATTCAGAAGGAGATGGAGAACTCTAAAATCAAATTTAAAAACAGAAATAAACAAATTAAAAGATAATGTCCTCTTCATCTTATCACTTTAGAGTAAAAGTAATCAAAGTTTACTCTGCATGAAACAATTAATTAAACAATTCATTTAATCTCTGTGATTTCCTTAAGTGATAGCTGCCATGGCTCCTTTGACAAGTGAGTTAAAAGCCTTCTAAAGGTCCCCAACAACTGAATCCAGGTTTCCCGTCAGATTGATGTTAGAGCTCAGAGCTCAGTGCTGAGATCCTATTATATACTCAGCGTTGGGGCAAAAATAGAGGATGAGCTAGGTGTCCCCCAGGTTCCAGGCATCTATGAACTCAGTGACAAACATTTACGATCATGAGGTCCCACATAAGGGGACAAATGATTCCTTTTATTATCCATAAATACTTAAGTGCCATAAGGACTTTATAAATTCTGAGAGCTCTTTGTGGGTTGGCTTCCTGGAAGATAAGGAATTTGAGATCATCCTTATTGGTAGGATTCAAATAGGTACAGGCAAAAAAAAAGATGAGGGAAACCCAAACAGCAGAACTCACTGAGAGCAAGGCGGGAGCTTGGGCAGGGAGTGAGGAGAAGGTATTGCATGCAATACAACTGTATATATATATATATCCCTTATATATATACAATCATGTGACTTTCCAGTGAGTTCCCAGTTTCATAGGAGGAAGAAGCCCACGTAACACTGAAGCACATGTTGGGTTCCTGTCTCCAAATCTTAGCCCTTTGGTAGCTCCATCTTGGTAATGGTATTTTTGCGTAGGGGAGAGAGAATCTGCTCGCTCCTTCAGTTGATTTCACTCTTTCCTTTCCTTTCCTTTCCTTTCTAGTGTCCGTGCTGAGATGCAGGAGTGGGAAGACTCCCTGTTTGGAGAGCAGGAAATCGAAGTTCTCTATCCTGCTGCGGTTTTCTGCAGCCAACCTGTCTGCAACCCCAGGTGTGTCAGGGGAAGCACGGGCAGGAAAGACTTTGTCTTCCTCTCCCCTCCCAGCTGTGCTGGGGCTCAGCCGGGAAACAGAAAATGAGAGGAGAAAGCAAGAATGCTTCGCGTGGTAAGGGCCTGAGCTGGACCTGGCAGCCAGAGGTCAGCATTGGGTCCAGCTAGACGGCAAGGCATAAGAAGAAAATCTAAATACAGACGGTTCCTATCAGACCATGGGCTCATGGTGCCCTGCATCTTAATCCTAATCACTATTGAAGTCTGAAAAAGCCCTGGGGTGGGAACAAAGGTAACATCTGGCCTTCCCGATGCTGCCCTCCATTGTTCCAGGCCCTTCCCTGTGAAACAAATAACACAGGTACCCACATCTCCAAGAAGGTAAAGCCAACACCTGCTCCCTTTGGTCCTTTTCATTCCTGACTGTTCCCAATACCCTTGTCCTTCCCAGGCATCCATGCCAAGGTCTTGGTAGCAGCTCCAGCCATGGGGCCTGGGACTGTAGCTCTGTAGCCATGCTTCATCAGGAACATCCTTTTTTCCTTCGTCCCCCAGCTGATGTCAGAACCAGCCACCAGGGCCCAAAGGTGGTGGTTTCTCCCAATGACACCCCTCAGACAGTGTGGTTTTTACATCCTGTCCTGGTTGGTGTGTTTGTCGTCTCCACCCACTTCCCACCATCCAGAGCTTTCCAGGTGCAGTAGCCAAATTTTGTTTTTCTCTTTCTCCTAGCACAAGACACAGCTCTGATAATATTTGTGTAATAGTTGAGGCATGGATGTTTTCCTTTAAACCAATGTTTTAAAAACCTTTTTAGCCTCCACCCACACTAAGAAATACATTTTATATTATCAACAGTTTGCACAAACAGACAGACAGACACACACACACACACACACACACACACACACACACATACACACACACACACACACACACCCCTGTAACACAGTTTTTAAGAAAGAATACTTACAATGTTGGATGCAGTCTGGTATTTTCTTTATTTCATTTTTTACAAGGCTGCCTGTAGTAGGTTCGGAGATGTAGCTCAGTGGTCCAGCACTTGCCCAGCAAACATGAGACCCTAGCACCAAAACCAAAAAGAGCTTGTCGGGATTTGGAGGTAGGAAGCTCCATCCTAAAGCACAGGGTGCTCTGTCACTGCTAAACTGAGAAGAGCTTTACATCCAAACCTGATCAGATTAGAATTAAGCTGTAAACAAATGAGGGCTCGGCTGGGTTCTGCTTTGCAGACTGTGAATTTGGCCTCATTACAAGGAAGGAGCCCCTGGGGGTGGGGGTGGGTGGTTTACTGACAGTGGCCATGTCTTCCATGGTCTGGATAAGAACTAGGCCCTAGTCTTGCTTTTTGTATTTTTCCCCTTTGGTAATTTTGTTATGCCCAGATGGTGGAGACCCCAAAAGACCACCACGGAGACCGAATCCCATATGTAAAAGCAAAGAGCCTTTATTCAAGCTCCGGGGCTCTGCAACAGCGGAGGTGATTAGACAGTCACAGGCTCTGGAATGGCAGGCGGTGATTAGACACTCACAGGGAGTAGTGGCAGGGAATAAACAGGTTAACCCGCCCCTCCTGTCTACACAGCCTCACGTGAATAAGAGTTAAGAGGAATGCAAGGGTGGGGAAGGATATTCCCATCTCCCATCCCAATATAGCAACATTCCAGCTATAAACTCTTTTAGTAACTGTCAAAAGAACATCATAAAACATGATATATAAATCATGACATTACATTGCAAAATGTTGTCATGACTCTGTTTGTCTACTGATAACAGTAACCACACATCTTTTATAGAGAGAGGGGTAACATGGTGGGCTGTATTCTAGTGGGCATACCACCTCCATGAGGAAAGCTGACGAGAACACTGCAGTCTCACATACCTGGGTCTTTGTTCTCCCAAGCTCATCAAACACTTTCTAGGATAGCATTGTGCTGTCGGTCAAAGGGACAACGTTGGTCTGGAGAGATAACTCAGCAGTTAAGAGAGCTGCCTGCTCCTCCAGAGGACGTGTACTCAGTTCCCAGCACCCACTCGGTGGCTAGCAGTTCTCTGTAGCTCCAGTTCCAGGGAATCGGACACCCTTCTCTGACCTCCTCAAACACAGCACACGTGGTGCACAGACATACATGCAGGCAAAAACGCTCCTATACAGTTTCTAAAAATCTCAAATGGAGGGAGAGGAAAGTAAGTGTATCTTTTTGAGACAGGGTCTTCTGTAACCCTGGGTGGTCTTGAACTCGTAGCCCAGGATGACCTTGAACTTCTGCCCCTCCTGCCCCCACCTCCCAAGTGCTAGGACTGCCGGCCCATACCACTAAGGCCATTTTGGTGCTGAAGATTGAACTTGAGGCTTCGGGCAAGCTAAGTGAGCACTCTCCCAACTGAGCACTCTCCTTAACCTGGCCATTTCATCCTTACACTGAATTCGAGGGGGTAGGTGAGGCCGTTGTTCAGAGTACTTGTCTACCCCACTGGTGTGAAGACATGGGTTCAATAACAGGCAACACACACACACACACACACACACACACACACACACACACACACACACACGAGAACAACTCTGTAAATGAAAACAAAAACAAAAGCTTAATTACTTACCTAGTGCTCTTTTTTTTTTTTTAAGAGAATAGTTATAGCCCACCTGCAATAAATTGGTGTGTTGAGCCTGATGCCAAATGTGGTGGCACCAGGAGGCAGGCCTTTAGGGTGGTGATTAGACCATAGTGGGGAGCCTTCGTGTACAGGATCAGTGCTCTCAGAAGAGACTCCCAAGAGCTCCCACAGTCTTCTGTCATGTTAACAAAGCAAGAGGATGGATTTCTATAGACCAGATGATGGACCTTCACTAGACACAAATCTGTGGGCATCCTGACCTTGAACTTCCCAGCTTCCTGTGAGCAATAGATTCCTGTTGTTTACAGGCCACAGGTTTATGGGATCCTGTTTCAGGAGCCTGTACAGACAAAGACACTAATGTGCTCATCGTTTGCCAAACACAGTAGCGAGGATGGTCCATGTTCCCAAGTGCATATAGTTTTCACTTCAGTGAGGTAGAATGGAATGGATGACCTTGACCCGTGGAACAAAAAGAGACTGGAGCTCTCTGGCCCAGGAGTCTTCCGGCGTAGGAGGAACCAGTCTCTTCTAAGCCTTGGGTTCTCATCTGCAGAATTCAGGAAGCTTCACTGTTGCTCAAGATTGCTATAAGGAAGGAACCAGGGGGTAGGCTGGGAAGCAGGTAAGGTTTCTGAGAAAGTTCACCTTTTTCTAATTGTATGAATAGTGGTACCCAGTGAATAATTACAGGTGAAACCCCCAAGAAGAAAAAATTCTAAGGTTGCCTTTTGCAAAATAACCATGCCCGGCTGCTTCAGTGCACAGAGGGAGTGGCGGTAAAGACAAGCCAGGCTGGGCACAGGAGACATTTCCCCCCTCAGGAAGCAATGGAAAAGGAAGCCGACGGATAGGAGGCCCAGCCACGGAAAGCCCTGGCTAGACAAAGCCATCTGGATTGTGTCCCCTAGGCCATGGTAGAAAATAATGGCTTAGAAGACTGTGCAGGCTGGTTCCGGCAGAGTGTAGAGGCTGGGAAAGGGCTGAAGGTGTCCATGGATGAGTGGCTGGATCGGAGGACAGTGCGGCGAGGGCAGGGGAAACCAGAGTCTAGTCAGGTGCCTGGTTCTCACACCTCCCTCCATCTGCCTTCTCCTCCCGTTCGTTCGCCTTCTCTTCTGCCCGTATCAGTCCCACGTCCCTCTACCACTTAAGTCAATGTGTTGATGGCACTTAGCAAATGCTTAGGATGATCAAGATGTCGCCAGCAGCAGCTCCCTGGCAAACTCTGGCTGGCTGCCTTTGAGTGGGTCATGGGCAGAGGCGGGGCAGGCCTCCTCTTTCTTTAGTGAGAAAGTCAGCCCGGGAGTCTACCTCACCGGAAGCCAGAGCCCTTGGCAGCACCTGACATCAGGTGCCGTGCAGCTGGCTGGGTGAGAAGAGAAGCTGACACCTCTGGGCTGGCTGAGGGCTGCTGCTGCTTCCACTCAACGCAGAGGAAAGCAGGTCACCCTGCACCCTGTCAGATACGGAGGGACTGACCGATGCCTCTGGGGACCGAACTATAGAGAAGTATTTCTGGAATGGCTGCAGGCACACACCTCACTGAGGAAGTGAAACTGGTGATTCATACATAGTCCAGTCTAACTGCAAAAGGGTTGAGACTGGTCACCCCGGGGCCTTCCACCTTCTAATATATACCTTCCTTGGTACCTCACTTACAGATCTTCTTGCCTTGCCCCAGCTTGTGAATTTGCCAATCCCTGCTAAATTGCCTGTGCTCTGACCGAAGGGCACAAAGATGTTCACTTCAGTATTTTGCTGGGATATGGAAAAAGAGAGCAGACCAACCAGACCCAGTGGCAGGGTAAACGCCTGTGTTTTAGAGTTAAACTTGAATAAGAGGATTCCAGGGGGATGGACATAAAGATAAGGGATGAGAGGTCTTCATCATGGATTATATGCCACAGACTAATGATGATTATGATAACACGTGGGATGTCTATAGGATCGGGTCACCTAGCATCCAAATAATCCAGGAGGAGGCCGGAGCAGAAGGAGGCAGTAGTCTGGGTGAAACCACAGGATGTAGACTGCTGGGGTGTGGAGTTTGGAGATTCAGGGAACAGTGGGCTTGAAGCCTCAGAGGACCTAGCTGGGAGAGATGCCGCTCTGGTTATTCCATCAGGGGTGGGTCCTGAGAGGGCTGCTGCTTGGAGTCATTGAGACATTTGGGGGTTACTATGCTACAATTGCTGGAAGAGCTTTATAGCTGTATTGAGAATGGTGGGAGGAGACACGGGGTTAGTGGAAATGTGCCTGGAGGTGGTGATTTCAGCGCAGACAGATTCCGTGAGATTCTACAATGAGACCGAGGAGACAGATGATGAGGGGTGGGAAAGGAGGCTGCTATGGACTTGGATAGGTGGAGAACACACAGACGTCATCGGAGACCATGTTAAAAAGAATTTGCTTGGGCTGGAGAGAGAGCTCAGGGGATACACGCTCACCTTACAAGTGTGAGGACCTGAGTTTAATCCCCAGCACTGGTGTAAAAAGGGGAGTCTGCTAGTGTGCACTTCTGATCCCAGTGCTGGAAGGCAGAGAGATGAGCCTCCCTGGGGCTCAGCGGGCTAACCACACACACACACACACACACACACACACACACACACACACACACACACACACACACAGATGAGCCTCCCTGGGGCTCAGCGGGCTAACCACACACACACACACACACACACACACACACACACACACACACACACGCACAAAAGCCTATCCAGGGAGCCCCATCAGCATTTCAATGATAGGCTACCTAGGAAGCCTTAAGAAAGGCTAGAGTGTTTGGATGTAGAAGGTCACATGGGTCTCAGCAGGTGGAGAGGCCAGAAGGCAGTGGGTTGAGACCACTACCTCAGGGCACCTGAGGTAGAAAGGAGTTGCAGTCAGAGCACAGGCAACTTAGAGGTGTTTAGAGGTGAAACAGAGGGCAGTGAGAGAAGTCCTGGATCATGTACCTGCTGGGGACAAAGAGGACAATAAGGATGAGAGGAGTTAAGTGACTCCCCCTCCCCCCAACACACACCCACACACACACCCTGGGGTAGGTGGAAATGCTAATCTTGGATTTCACAACAACCTGCAGTTCCCTCATTCCTCAGCCTTGTGTCAAATCTGCTAGCTTCTGCTGGTGGAAAGTCCCTAAGGCCCTGGCCTTCACTCCTGGAGGCAGAGGGAGATGTGAGGCAGCTGGATGGACCAAGAGCCGTGAGGGTGTTCTTAGCTCAAGGTTGGGATCTTGAGCACCAGACAGGACTCCTCTCTCCTTTTGCACCTATTCCTCCCCTGCCCCCCATCCCAGGACCCAATTAGAGCCGCCGGCCAAATGTGCAGAGGGTTGTAAACATCAGTGAAGTGCTCTGAGTGGCCCCTGGGTTAGATACGCAAGAGCGATAGGAAGTGAAAGTGGTAACCCCCGGGAGGTGAGGGCAAGGACTGGCTTAATCATGAGCTATTTATTAGCAGCCAGAGCCTTGAGCCAGCCTTTCGGAGTTGCTAACTACAGACTTGGAGTCGTTGGCAGCAAAACTGTGTCTCTTCAGAGTTTGGTTACCCACTATGACCCCATAACAACCGCCATGCCAACGGCCAGCTCTGTGGGAGTGGGGATGTCAACAAGCAAAGGAGGTGAAGGCGAGGATGACCTCACTGGATAAGCAAGCATACACCCCACATGGCTGGGGGAAGGAGGGACTCATCTGCTGGGCTGTGGGAGGCTGTCGCGGAGCAGACAGGCTGGGAAGAGGTGGAGGGAGGAAGAAAGCAGAGCTTGTGGAAAATGGGGAGAGAGTCTTGTTCAGAAGTGACAGGCTGGAGTTCGTTCAGGAAGGCAGAGGAAAAGCTGCTTGGCTGAGGATAAGAATCAAAAGAGTTCAATAGAACTGTAGAGAGTTCTCTGTTAAATAGAGAGTTAAAGAGAGAAAGGGAGATGTGGGTGGCCACATGCGATTCTGAAAGAGACTTGAAAACACCCCTCAGCCTTGACCGGGATGTTTCCTTGTGTGTGTTGGGTTGGTGTCTAAGTTGGTACATTGTCATATAAATAATGAAAACATTCATGTAGCCTACAACCCAGGAGGCAGAGGAAGGAGGGTCACAAGTTCAAGGCCACCCTGGTCTACTAACAAGACTATGTTTCAAAAACAAACAGATGGAGCCAGGGGATGTAACTTAATTAGTAGAGGGCTTCCTAGCATCCATGAAGCTCAGTTTCATTCCCAGCCCCTCATAAAGCGGGTAGGGTGACATACACTGTAAGATTACTATTGAGGAGAGGGAGGCAAAAGACTGTAGAGTTCAGGATCATCCTTGGCTAGAGAGTGAGTCTGAAGCCAGCCTGAGATACAGGGGACTTCATCTCAAAGACAAGCAAACTAAAATCCAACCGGTATGCAAATGAGTGCTTTCCAGACGCCAGATACAGTGACACAGAGAGGTGAAGCCATTTGCCCAAAGTCACGGGGTGTGTGTGGGGGGGGAACATAAGAGGCAGAGCCTCTCACTGCAGATGGTCTGACCTCAACACCTATGTGCGAGTACCATAGTAGAAACTCAGGAAAATAGGACTTAATATAGAAAAAGTGGTGGCTTTCAGCCTCTGACTAAAAAAGAATAGGTAAACACATTGTTTCTAATCTTGCCAGTTAACAAGAATCATTATTTTTGTAATTGTTTCCCAAACTGCTACATGCATCCGAATCACACCGGGAACTTGTTGGGTGTTATGGGAGCGAGGGCTGCTACACAGTGGCTGAGTACACTCTCAACATGCACAACGCCCCAGGATTGCTCTCTCCCCACAAATGCAGTCTAGTTCTAGACATCTGGGGTGGGGACTTGGCAAGTTCCCTTGCTGGAGATCCACGACCATACTTTGAGGAGCCAGGCAGAGGACAAGCCCTTTCGCCTCCATCACTGGAAATAGATTTCTCCAATGAAAATGAGGAAGTAAAGTTTTGCTCATGATCTGAGTTTCCCCCAACAGCTGAAATCTATTCCCATTCTCTCCCTTCTTTTCCTCTCTTTCTTTTGCCCTTTCCCTCTGTGAAGGACCTCCTGCTCCTCACTCTCCTGCTTTCACTTCCTGAGTACTGGAATTACACCATTATCCCCAGCCTGGAGCACCTCTTGGGCCCCCAAACACTTAACATTAGAGACTAGTAAAGCTATGATAAAATTCCCCTCACCCAGCCCCAAGACTGGTATTATTTTCCTACCCATTGAGGCCTGTGGGGGCTGTTATTAGAGAGCCCTCTTTTGGTGAAGGAATCAAAGGAATCAATGATCCAGATTTGACTTGGAGGGGATGCTCGGAGGGGTTCCTTGCAGTGGTGGGGTGGCCTGGGGGGCAAGTAGCCTGGTATAATCTTTCATGTTCTGGAAATGTTTGCTGAGTGAATGATCGATCAGGGTCTACTAGTAGACAGAGAGTGTGGGCCAGGCCTAGAAGCAGCAGGTCGAGCAGGGGGCAGGGTGTGAAGAAGTGTAGAATGTTGACTTTACCAGTTCTGCTGTTGTTTAAAGGCGAGGAAGGAGTTTGTGGTTTGTGAGGACACAGGTCGGTCAACCTTGGGACTGTGCTGTGAGATCCACAGCAGGCTATCTGGTGAATGATTGAAGAGCTAGGGAAGCCATGCTGAGCCCAAAGCTGCCTCTCTCCCCCTGGAGATGACTGTGTGCATGATTCATGTCTTGCCACCCCCTCACTTTCTCAGGCTAAACCCACATGTCCTGGGTGTGGGGACAATGAGAGGGATCTCCATTACACGGGTGGGTTCCAGCAGTCCTTTCACCTTGGTTGAAGAGCTGAGAAAACAGCACTGGAGAAAAGGGGGAGTCTCAGGATGGGTCTCCTCGGAGACTTCTGACGTAAGTCCTTCTGAAGAAGCATCTGAGAATGCTGTGTGGTCCTGAGGCTGGCTCAGAGGACAGCCAGGACATCTGGACCATTTCAGGATGTTAGAGAGCGGTGCTCCTTTCCCCACTGTCTGGGTCCTCTGCCACATCACACCCATATGTGTGAATACAAGCCAGAGGGAAGCAACCACATGATGAGCAGTCAGGAAGGAGGCACCGAAAGTCCGGAGTGGGTAGGCCACCTCCGGTCTTGACAGTAAAACGGACCACTAGTGTGGACAGTCATGGATACTGGTTGCCTGGTCTGTGAGATAGGGAGAAGGAAGATGTGAAATTGTCTGGAGACAGAGAGGTCAGCAGTATCCAAAGCAGATGGGGAAGTGATGGGGATTGGACTCCTTTTTATTTTATTTTATTTTTTTACTTTTCCTGATGCTATTTGGTTTTAGAGACAGGGTCTTGCTGTAGCCCAGGCTGGTCTAGAACTCATGATTTTCCTGTTTCTGCATCCCAAGTGATGATTGCTGGTTCTTCCCCCCTCCTGCCCCACTGTGTGTGTGTGTGTGTGTGTGTGTGTGTGTGTGTGTGTGTGTGTGTGTACGTGTGTACATCAGCTGTCTTCCTCTATTACTCTCCACCTTACTGCCTTGAGAAGGGTCTCTCATTTAATTGGAAGCTTACTGTTTAGGCTGGTTTGGCTGGCCAGGGAGTTCTAGGGATCCGTCTCTTTGTTCCCTGTTCTCCCAGTGCTAGAGTTATAGATAAATGTGGCCATGCCTGGCTTTTTCATGGGTTTTGGGGATTCAAACTCAGGTCCTTATGTGTACACTGCAAGTTCTCTTATCCACTGAGCCATCACCCCAGCCCCATAGGAGGGTTTTGCCTTGCAAGACAGGTTCTCTTTTCCTGGAAGACTTTTTTAAGAGAACAGGGTTTTCAGCAACTCCAAGGTCAAGGCACACCTTCATTCTAGAGCGAGCATGTGTGCTAGATTCCTGTCTTCTTACTCTAGGGAAACTGGGGCCAATCTTGGAGACAGGTCTAGGAGTGTCCCTTTCTATTCCAATAGGGCTTGAGAAGGCTTTAAATACAGGTTGTAAATGCAAGAGTGAAATGCAAGAGAGGAAAAAAATGTGTCCAGTGCAAGTAAGAGTTAACACCCCAAACTGCCTGACTTGCCTTTGGGCTTCCCAGCATTCCACAGAGGTGGGGAATGTGCTTGGAGTTTGCTAGGGCTTTCACCGGATTGAACTGGCTTCATGCTCTGTGCCTCAGTTCTTTTGTAAAATAACATGAAAATACAGTGTTTTACATGGGAATGTGCCTGGCACAGAGGAAGCATATGGTCACACTGCAGATTTTATAATTCTCTCCTTTACCTGGGGACAGGGATGTGACTGTGGAGGAGGAGGGTCTCCCTTAAGGGGTACCTTCTCTTCCAGGGATGTTCTCTTCCTCTGTTCCCTTCAAGTCCTATGGGTGGTCTCTGCAACTGCCTTGTTCCTGGTCTGGCTGCACGGGGAATGTTCCCATGTCTGCTTGAGTTTCCTCTCTACAACAGACTTTTTCCAGGATGTACATTCATGAATACTGAATGGTGACTGCAGATGAATTTCCTGGACTGTAAGTCTCTCTGAGCTCACAATGTCCACATGTGGTATTGTCTCCTCCTTTCGTCTGGGATTCTGGGATTCTGAAGGCCAGGGGAGGCTTGTCCCACAGAGCTTTGTTTTGTGTTCTGCAGTACCAGGCAGGCTGTTTTTTTTTTTTTTTTTTTTTTTTTTTTCTGATCTCTGAGAGGTCTGAGACTCATGGCTTAGCGGCAGTGACTGACTGACTTATTAAGGATCCTGTGGGCAAGGATACTGAGATTGGCTTTAGCAGTAGAGTGTTTGCCTAGTACGCAAGTCCTGGGTTCCATTCCCCGCACTGCAAATTGTAGATGGATTTTTCTTTGGGCCGCCAGCTCACAAAAAACAACACGGAGATTTATTAATTATGAAAGCTTGGCCTATAGCTTAGGCTTGTATAACTAGCTCTTATAACTTAAATTAAACCATTTATATTAATCTATGTTTTACTTTGTGGTTTTGTTTTTTTTTTTAACCTTTCTTCCATCTTGCATCTCCTGTGTCCTTTGGTGTCTCTCCTGCACCTAGATACCTAGATTCATCTCCCCTTTTCCTCTCTCTCTTTCTCTCTCCTCTCTCTCTCCCCCCTCTCTTCCCAGAAGTCCCACCTAACCTCTTCTTGCCTAGCCATTGACCATTCAGCTCTTTATTAAACCAATCAGAAGGCACCTTGGCAAAGACATCTTTACAATGTACGAAAAGATTATGCCACAACAGCAAGTAAGTAAATGCATACATAAATAAAACAAAAGTATTATTAGGGGCTGGAGAGATAGTTCAGTGGTTAAGAGTTCATACCATGCTTGTAAATGACCTGAATCTGATTCCTAGCACCTACACTGGGCAGCTCACAACTGCCTGTAACTTCAGGTCTAGGGGTATTTTGTGCCTCTAGGCTCCTGCATTCAGATGCACATACCCACCCACGTATACATATTTCAAAATAAAATAAATATTAAAAAACAACCAACTTCTGAGGCATTGGAGTTCAGGCCTGGATGCTCCCATACCATGTATCACATTGCTGCCCTACTCCTTTGGCAGCAGCTGACGTGCTCGGCCTCTCTTCTGCAGCAAGAAGTTTGGAAGAACTTGGCCCTGAGGGCTGGAGAAAAGAAGGTGGTGGGGGACTCTGACCACAGCTAGTTGTTGACTAAAGAGAAAGGGTGTTTTGGTATGCTAGCTGCCCTTTAGAGTAGCCTTACACAGTTGGATCATCTCCTCCTCCCTGTGAAGTAGGAACCCTTCATTCTCTTTAAAGCTGAGGTAACCAGGTAGAGGATGTATTTGCCCTGGGTCATGAGACTAGTGGACTGCAGAGCAAGCAGTCTGGCTTCAGACTGTGTTGAACTACTTACTACTAATAGGCTTCCTAAGACCCAAGAGCAGGTGTGTACCATGGCCTCCCTTCTAACTACTTTCCTCAGCATTCAGAGGATGCTGGAACCAATGCTATCTGTGTAGTGGCTAGGGTTCCTCATCTGCTCTTCTAGTTTCACTCTCTTATGCTTTAAGAAAACACTCTGACAGGAAGCAACTTAGGGAAACAAGGGTTTCTTTTAGCTTATAATGCCAGGTTACAACCATCACTGCGGGGAATGTCAAGGAGATGGGAGCTTGGGACAACCAGTCACATTACCGCCACGTGAATGTGTGCGTGCTTAGTGCTAGGCTCGCTTTCTCCACTTAACATCTCCTTTTATTTGATGTGTATGAGGGTTTGCCTGAATGTTATGGCTGTGTACCACATGCATGCCTAGGGCATGCAGAGGTCACAAGAGGGTGTCAGATCCCCCGGAACTGGAGTTAGGGACAATTGTGGGCCCCTGTGTGGATGGTGGGAATCAAGCTGGGACCCTCTGGGAAAACAAGTGCTCTTAATGTCTGAGCCATCTCTCCAGCCCCTTCTCCACTCCTGTATAGTCCAGGGACCCAAAACAGATATTCTGGCTAATTTTATGTCAACTTGACCCAGGCTAGAGTTATCTGAGAAGAGGGAACCCCAGTTTAGAAAATGCCTCCATAAGATTAGGCTGTAGACAAGTCTGTAGGACATTCCCTCAATTGGTGATTGATGGGGGAGGTCCCAGCCCATTGTGGGTGGTGCCATGAAAGCAGGCTGAGCAAGCCATGAGGAGCAAGCCAGAAAGCAGCACCCCTCCATGGCCTCTGCATCAGCTCCAGCCTCCAAGTTCCTGTCCTGTTTGAGTTCCTGCCCTGACTTCCTTCAGTGATGTGAAAGTGTAAGCCAAATAAATCCCTTCCCCCAACTTCCTTTTTGGTATGGTGTGGCTTTGGTTTTCCACATCAGTTAAGACAGTTCTCTATGGACATGCCCACAGGCCAACCTGATCTAGACAACCCTTCACCAAGACTCTCTTCCCAGGTTTTTCTAGGTCGTATCAAACTGAATATTAAAACTAATAGCCAGGTGTGATGGTGCATGCCTTTGATCCCAGCACTCAGGAGGTAGAGGCAGGGGAATCTCTGTGAGTTCAAGGCCAGACTGGTTTACATAGTGAGTTCCAGGAGAGCCAGAGCAACACAATGAGACCTTGTCTCAAAAAACAATAACAAAAAAAACACAAAAAACCAAACCAAAACAAAAACCTCAAACTAAGACAAAAAAGAAAACCCACAACACCCCCCCCTCCAAAAAACCCAACCATTTCATGATTCCCCCCCTTTTTTTCCTATTTCAAAACACTAACTTCTCTCCAGAGACAGAGAAACTTGTCTCTGCTTGAAAATACAGTGCTACCAACCCACATAAGGCCACATGTCAGAATACTGCATCCTCTATTGGAACCACAGTCACTCCTCCACAGCTTACAACTCTGCCTCAGGATTCTGCTCTTGTCCCCTAGTGCACCTTATTCACCATGGCTGCCTCGCCTTGGTTGTCTCAATTTCAAGAGGCAAAAGCAGACTGAAGCAAAACGCATCAAAAACAGTGGGGAAAGTCATGAGCAATTTCCTCACAAATAATTACTTTAAAAATTGTTTTAACTGGCAGAACACTAACAGCCTTTAACAAACCAGTCCTTTATTCAATGTTTTATAACCTTGGAATGAAGTAAGGGCAGAGAGTGTTGCATTTGAAGATGCCAGAATTACACTCTGGGGTCAGTGTCCTGGAACACGAACTTTGTTTTCCAGCCATGACCTTGGGGTCAATAGACCTGTATAAACTATACGATTCCGACTCTAGCAGATAGGTCAGAGGACACTCAGATGACGTTTTAATTTACAACACCTTTGTTTCTGCTATTCAGCGCCCTACCTTTGGAGATGGTAAAACTGCAGGGAGTTTTAGGGCATTCTAAACCAGGTATTTCTGGCTGGATTACTTAACTATCACTATAACTCTCATAACTTAAATCTCTCAGGCAATAAAATGAAAAGCCAAATGCACATAACTAACCTCATGGCAAAACTACACCTTATACCACGTAGGGGAACAGGAAGTAATCTTTATTTCAAAAGGATGGGAAAACTTCCAGGATGCGAAAAGGACATCCTCTCCTACATTTTAAAACAGGCACATTTTCCACCATTTCCTACCTTTTCCTACACTCTACAACAAGCACACTCAGGAAAAAGTAACGAGGAAATGAACATTTCCCGAAGATCTATTGAGTTCCAGTCACATGCTTATATCTTAGCTCATATGATTCTTACTGGGTAAGAACTTGTAACCAGAATACCTGAATTAGTACTGCCTGTCGCCACAAGCCCCGATGAGCAGACAGGAAATGCATCTTTGCTGTGCACAATTTGCTTTACACAATCCTAACCCGTCCACGGGTCTCCTCTCATACTGCTAGTATTTCACGTTCTGGAGCACTTGGTCTGAGAGACCCAGGGCTTGTTCAAGGTGACACACTGCAGCAATCAGAGAGTCAGAATTCGAATCCGACGCAACATCCTCCCCGCCCGCTGCGCCACAGCCGGGGCTCTGACACCGCAGGTCCGCCGCGGAGTCACTAATGACCCATGGCTCTCCCTCAGCGCAGTGCCACAACTGGGAACGCAAGCCTGTCCTCGTGACTCCGGGATCTTTCCGTTTTCACCCAAGTGCGTGACTGCGGGAGTGAGGCGGCCACGTGAGGGCAAGGAACCGATCGGGTCCGGCCAAGGGCAAGTCCCCAGCACACGCGCTCTTCTTCAGCGTCGCCACACAGCTGACCCCGGCCCGCGTGGGAGGAACTCGGGACGACCTCGGCTACGGCCTCTGGGTCCCAGGGTGGCGACCTGCGGGCCCGGGCGAGACTCCCCCACAGCCCCCGCCCGCTGCCACCCGGCGTAGCCGGCACAGACAGGCTAACCGGGGCGAGGCTGCAGGGAGGAGGCCCGCCAGGCCCACGTGGACCAGCTCCCCCTTGGGGGCGGGGCCTAGGGGGCGCCCGGACCAATCAGAGCCGCGGCTCAGCTCACCCGGCCGGGCGCGCCCGACCAGCCTGTGGCTGCGTCACGTCAGGGGCGGGGCTTCGGGCGCGGCGCGAGTCCCTGCAGGTCACGTGGGGTGCGGAGCGGGCTATAAATAGGGGCCCGGCGGCGTGCTCGCCAGAGTGATGGCCGCCGGCGCGCGCTGCGCGATTTCTTCTCTCAGCCTCTGAGGCGCCCGCGGCTGTTTCCGAGTGGGTGTCGAGCCCCGTTTCGTGTCGTTCCGGCTGCTGCCGCCCCGGACTGTGCGTCCGCGGCTCCAGCCTGCCTCAGTCCCGTTCTCCTGGTCTCCGCTCGGCCTTCAGTTTCCTTTGGTGAGTGGCGGCGCGGCCCCCCTTGCAAAGGTTCTTTCTTCTCTGGAGCGGGGCCCGGGGCGAGGGAAGCGGGCGGGCGTGTGGAGTGCGAGCTACGCCGGTCCCGCGGCGCTGCTGCCCGCCTCCCCCACGCCGCACCCTTCCGCGGGCCTTTTCGGCGGTCCCCGGCAGGCGCGCGCGCGGGAATGGCCTTTTTCCGGTCTTCCACGGAGGGCGCGCGCGGGCGGGCGGGCGGGCGGCCGGAGACAGAACTGGACGCGTGGGGCGGGGCGCGCGGGCGGGCGCAGGGAGGGGGGGAGCACGGCGATCGCCCGCCGTGTGCCCCACCTCGCACATCCTTTCGGGGACCGAGGACAGAAGTAGCGGGCGGAGGGCACTGCGGAGTTCTGGGCTGCCTCCGTCCCAGGGATGCGCCGCTATTGTTATTTTCTCCCACTTCGTCCCCCCAGGATGAACTTGCGTCCTTTCTTTAATCCGCCATGGAATTCTGCTCCGTGCTTTTAGCCCTCCAGAGCCAAAGAAACCCCAGACAACAGACGCCCATACGCAGCGTATAGCAGTAACTCCCCAGCCCGGTTTCCGTGCCGTAGTTTACAGTATTTAATTTTATATAATATATACTATTTATTATAGCATTTTGATACCTCATTCCGTTTACACATCTTGAAAGCCGCTCAGTAATTCTCTTATTAATTAAAAGAACCACTACACTAGAAAATGGCATCTACTGTGGCACCGATTACTAGTACTCTAGCTGCTGTTACTGCTGCTGCTCCATCGGTGGATGACAAACTATGGATGCTCATCCTGGGCTTCATCATCGCATTTGTCTTGGCATTCTCCGTGGGAGCCAATGATGTAGCAAATTCGTTTGGTACAGCTGTGGGCTCAGGTGTGGTGACTCTGAAGCAAGCCTGCATCCTCGCTAGCATCTTCGAAACTGTGGGCTCCGCCTTGCTGGGGGCCAAAGTGAGTGAAACCATCCGGAAGGGCTTGATTGATGTGGAGATGTACAACTCAACTCAAGGCCTGCTCATGGCTGGCTCTGTCAGTGCTATGTTTGGTAAGTTCTTGTTATTATACCTTCTGCTCTTTCCAGTGCCAGAACCGATTTGTGTCTTGGGGTGGTTCCGTTTTTGTCCTGAACCTTTTCCGCTTATTTTCATGAGAATGCACTGCTTACATAACGGAGTTTTGCCATTTACCCAACGAAATTTGATTGATTTTTGTTTCAGGTTCTGCTGTGTGGCAACTAGTGGCTTCGTTTTTGAAGCTCCCCATTTCTGGGACCCATTGTATTGTCGGTGCAACCATTGGCTTCTCCCTCGTGGCGAAGGGGCAGAGGGGCGTCAAGTGGTCTGAACTGATAAAAATTGGTACGTTTAAATTCTGAACGGTTTAGGTTTGTTTTTGTCACGTGTTTCTGTAATATGGTTTATGGGGAGTGAGTGCGTGGTGTAGAGTAGGGGGCCAAATTTAAGGGTATCAGAAATGGAATAGCTAACATCTCAGGAACACGTTTCCTTAGTTTCATGACTTGACACTTTACTTTGTGTTCTATTCCAGTGATGTCTTGGTTCGTCTCTCCACTGCTCTCTGGTATTATGTCTGGAATTTTATTCTTCCTTGTTCGTGCATTCATCCTCCGTAAGGTAACCTTTCTACTTACGACCTTTCATGAGTCACATTCAGTCCTGTTCAAACTCACTGGTATTCTTTCAGGGGTTACTGGTATGTAAGTATGTGACTTTGTAAAGTTAAAAAAGTTCTTTGTTCTCCTGTATGTTGTGGCGTTCTCTGAAAGAAGTAAGTTTTTAATACCCCAGAGGGCATTCAGGAAGGAAGAACTGGGTGGTTCTATGGGCTGCCAAGAAATAAGAGAGACTGGGAGTGAGAAATAAGGACATTTGTTGAAGGTGGCTTTGTCTAGCCATGTGCAGGTTGCTACCTTATCTAAACCACCGTTACATTCAGGACAATTGGAATTGTAACCATTGAATTCAACATGTTACAGTATCCTCTTGTGGCTTTGTGAACTGCTACTTCAATAGACTCTCCCATGCTGATCATTAACTACACACAAGCTACACAAGAGGCCCTACTTGTAGGGACTCTGCTTTCTCAGGTGGAAAGAGCAGGTGAGATAGGTTCTTAGGTGGTTGGTTTTTTGTTTGTTTTGTGCTTTTTTTTTTTTTTTTTTTTTTTTGGCTTAAAAAGTTCAGGTAGCCATTGAATTTCCTGACTACTTGAAAATCCTTTTGAGAGACCTAGTGGCATTTCTTTTATCATGGAGTCTGATCCTGGTTCCACAATAAATGTAGACAACAAGGGATTATGTTGGCACTGGACTGAATTACAGAAAGAATAAATGAATTTTTCTCAGGAGACAGAGTTGTCCTATTTTCTAGGGTGAATGGCTCTTAAGCGTCCTTTGTTATGCCCTTTTAAAATTCCCCTAAACTGTAGAAATCTGAGTGAGGGGAGGTAGGAACCTTATCCCAACTGAAGGAGTGTGTTGTTTAGACTCCCTACTTCTTGATCTAGTTCTGAGTCTCTGGGGAATGATTTATGTCTTTCTCAATAGAAGTCCTTCCCTGACTCCCGATTCACTATACTCTGAATGTGTATATACTCTGGATATACTCATATGTCTAGCAGAACATGTTTAACATGTTGAGCATTAGAAATATCTCTAGCTGACAACTGACCTGGGCCCTCTGCACATATGTTACAGTTGTGCAGCTTGGTCTTCTTGTGGAGCTTCTAATAGTGGGAGCAGGGCCTGTCTGACTCTATTGCCTGCTTTTGGAACCATTTCTTCCTGGGTTGCCTCATCCAGCCTAAATAGGAGAGAGATGCCTAGTCTTGCTGGAACTTGATATGCCGTGGCTGGCTGATATACATGGAAGGCCTGTACATTCCTGAAGGGAAGGGAGAGGGAGGAAAAACTTTGATTAATTAATTAAAAGTATTAGCAAATGAAAGAAGGAAATATCTCAGATTGGCACAGCATGACTGAGTAAACAGTTCACTGATGCTCAACCTCTAGGTTTGGTATTCTTTCATCCAGCAAGCAAGTATAATTAGCACTCCGCCCATTCCCTAACTGTAGTATATGGTCATTTGATTCCCACCAGTACTTAGTAGTTTTTTTTAGTGTTCCTGTTAGAGCCATGTATCTCTCGACATATCAGAAAACCAGAATAATTAATAGGATGCTATTTGGATTCCTGTTTTATAAAGGTTTATGCTGGCCCCTTTGATGATTGGGAAATAGATCCTTCTGATTCTGAAGATCCTCCTCTTATGTCATCTCAGAAAGCTGATTGGTGGTCATTCCCAGAATGGAGAACAGGTGCAGGGAGGGCTTTCTCAATGTCCAGAACCTCTTATTGAGGGTGTGAGCCAAGTGTCTTTACTCTCACTGTGTTACTGGGAGTTCAAGTTGGCTGTGTAACTGATTATTCTTTTTTATGGTCTCATGTAGCCCAGACTGGCCTTGAACTTCTGGTCCTCCTGCATTCACCTCCCAAGTTCTTGGGTTACCGGTGTGTGTCCCTACTCTCAGCTTAACAGAATGTTTCTTATAAGAGTATGCGATGGGCATGGTGAAGAATGATGGATGATGTTTAATTTAATAAAGTGCTGACTTTGAGGCTCTGCCCCCCCCTCTGTCTCTCGCTTGTTCACAATCCCTCAGTAACAGATGAGGGACCCCCTCTCTTGTCTCCCTCCATATAATTGCGTTATATATATTCACATAATTTCCAAGCTTTAACTTCTTGGTCTCATTCCTTCCTATACTGGACTCAAAATAGTTCCTGGAAGTCTCTTGACCTGACTGAGTGGCCTAGTGCATAGCTGGTTTTTCTCTTTATCACTATATGTAAAAGATAAGTCACATGATGAGAAAACCATTTTATAAAAATCACCAGCCTAGTTACCTCTTAGGAAAAACAGGGAGGAGGCTAGAAGGGAGAAGCCTTCCTTATTTTACTGTTTTCCTTGACTCGTACAAAGTTTTTTTTTTTTAAACCAGTTAGC